TTAAAAAAAAATTACTTTCTCTTTCTCTCTCTCTCTCTCATACATCTATCTGTGGATTCTAAGGAGAACCAGAACCCCTTAAACTACCATACCAAACCAAAATCAAACCCATTGCCACCAAGTTGGATCTGACTCATAGCGACCCCTCCTTTGGTTTCCAAGGCAGTATCACTATGGAAGTGGATTGTCCAACCTTCCTTCTGAGGAGTGGCTGGTGAGTTTGAACCGCCAGCCTTCTAGTTAGCAGTCAAATGCCTTAAGCACTATGCCACCAGAGCTCCTTAAACTATCGTAGAATATATTTATATACAGTCTGAAAAATCTGTTACAGTTGGTAAATTAACTCTTCTGTTTTGTTGTATAAAAGATACCAGGCTTCCCATATAGTTTTATTTTCTTCTCCTGACACAAGTCTCAATCTTTAATGTTGCCTTTTTAGAACTCATTTTCCCCTGAAAGAATTTTTCAGTAGTCAATTTGATATTATCATTTAGATGTATGCACACACAGGTACTATGGAAATAAATTAAAACTTGGAAAATACATGCAATTACATTGAATTATAGTTAGATATCAATCTAGTCAGATCTGACTCATGGCAGTGCATTGTGTTTGTTACATTATCAATCTACTATAAACAAGGCAGCATTTTCTTTAAAGTCTACTAAAGTTTGAGTCAACAATATTTACTTTGTTACTGTTCAATTGGTCTTTCATAGTATGTGTATTACTGAATTGACCAAAATTCTTTATCCATCAGTGTATGAATCATTTCACAAAAGATAAATTACCTCTTTAAAGGAATTTATTTGTGAGTCTTTAAGAAATAAAAGATGACAAATCACAGGGTGAAAGGTAGTGTAGTAGTAGTCTGAAAGTATTATGTCTGTGTCTTTTATTACAGAATTTCTGAAATATGTATAGTAAAATATATACATGTGTATAACACTTATACAACCAAAAAAAGAAAAAAACAAACTCACTTCTATCAGGTCAATTCAAACTCATAGTGACCCCCCATTGGCTTTCTAAAATGGTAAGTCTTTACAGAAGCAAATTCCCTCATCTTTTTTCCACAGAGCTACTGGTGGGTTTGAACAGTCAACCTGGTTAGCAATCAGATGCCTTAGGCATCGCATCACCAGAGCTCTTTATAGAACCCTAAAGCTGAAAGAATTAAAATATCATTTGTAGTATAATCAGCAGCTTTGAGTGAATATGGTGCATGGTGATTGTCTTAGTTACCTTGTAGTACAGTAAAAGAAATACCACAACTAGGTGGCTTTAAAGAACAGAAATTTATTTTCTCACAGTTCAGAGTATAAATTTGAATTAGTGTGTGGTTTTAGGAATGTTTTTCCTTGTCTATTTCAGCTTCAAGTAGCTTCCTGCAACCTTTGGCATTCTCAAGCTTGTAAATGCATCTGTAGTTTGGGAGCTCTGGTAGCATAGTGCCTAAGGCACTTGACTGCAAACTAGAAGGCTGGTGGTTCACTCCACCAGTCACTCCTCAGAAAGGAGATGGGGCAATCTACTTCCGTAGTGATACTGCCACAGAAACCCAAGGAGGGGTTGCTATGAGTCGGGTCCAACTCAGCGGGACATAGCAACAACAATAGAGGTATTTCATCACCACCTGTCTTCCTATTCTCTCTGTGTAGTTCTTGTGTCTATTCTGTTCTTGTTATAACTCAGAAATAATTAGGCCCAGGAGTCCCCCTTCTCTGGTACGGCCTCATTAACACAACGAAAGTATACAAATTTCCAAACAGAGTCGTATTTACAACTACAGGGGTTAGGATTTCAACAAATATTCTGGGTACAGGGAACAATTAAATCCATATCAGTGTATTTTTATAGTGTATATTGACAATGCTAGGTAAATATGTTACAGACTGTTACTGAGCATGCATATATTATATTACTTGTGATAAATCAAGTCTTCCCAATATTTCTTTTTTCTCTTTTTGAGCTCCTATAGAATTTTCCTGACATAAACGCAGTTTGGTTTTAAACTAATTTTTATATATTACATTTCACTAAAATTATAAACTGTTTAGACTGTTCTTTCACCCTCTAAAATTTGTTTTTTCACTTTGTTTTGAGAAAAATGAAAAAAAAAAAAATCAACAACAGCTACTACTAAGGAAGAAGGTAACAGGATAAAATACACACTCTTAAGGTTGCATAGGGAGCTCTGGTGGCATAGTGCCTAAGGCCTTTGACTGCTAACCAGAAGGCTGGTGGTTCAAACTCATCAGCCACTCCTCAGAAGGAAGGTTGGGCAATCTACTTCCACAGAGATAATGTCAAACAAACCCAAGGAGGGGTCGCTATGAGTCAGAACCGACTCAACGGCAGTGAGTTTGGTTTGGTTTGCTTGTAACGTTGTATGTGGGAATTCCTGGGTGGTACAAACAGTTATGCCCTCAGCTAGTAACCAAAAAGTTGGTGGTTCAAATCCACTCAGAGCCTCCTTCCGAGAAAGGGCTGGCAATCTACTTCTGAAAATCACAGTCATTCAACACTTATGGAGCACGGAGAGTTCTACTCTTAAGCATATGGGATTGCCGTGAGTCACAATTAATTCAATGACAACTGGTTTGACTTTTTGCGATGTTGCAGATATGCTCCCTAGGGTGTTAGCCCACACTCATATTTGGATATGCTCCCTGCATGTTGGAGAGCCAATGGAAATATGTCTGGAGAATGTGTTCCAAATGTGCTGCAGAAGTATCAGGAGGTGACAGTGAAGAAGAGCAGTAGATGAGAGCAGAAACAAGAGGGTGATCGCAGATACTCTGCTCACATAATTGTGCTTTACTTTATAAATAACACACACACACACACACACACACACATATATATGTATTAACTTTTGAGAAGGATGAATTTCCTCAAAGGGAAGAAAATGAATTTTAAAAATTGGCAGTTTTATGTACTAGAAATAGATATATGTTATAGACACTGTGATAGGAAATGCAGAGAGAATGAGAGAATTTACACCAGAAAAGAGATCACTAACATGCCAGTGGACACACGTCCTGTGTTTTTCCCCTTCATTCGATTTTCAAAGATTAGCAAGAGAGGAATTCTGACTTGGGCAATTAGATTAACAAGGATGAGTCAGCACATAAAAAGAGACATAAAAGATGGTGCCCTTTATGCTGTCCAAAAGCAAAATTTAAGAAAACCTTGCCAGCCAGGTAATGGATAACCAAAAAAAAAAAAAACACATTGCCACTATCGATTCCACCTCATAGTGACCCTATGGGGCAGAGTAGAACTGCCCCATAGGGTTTCCAAGGCTGTAAATCTTTATGGATGCAGACTGCCTCTCTTTCACCCACCAAGCAGCTGGTGGGTTCGAACCATCAAACTCATGGTTAACAGCCCAATGCTTTAACCACAGCATCACCAAAACTCCTTAGGTCATAGACAGCAATAGCAAAATCACAGGGAAAATGGAGTGATTAAGTTTGATCTTAAGGTTACAAGCAAGGTTTACAAAAGAGTAAAAGGTGGGTGAAATTCAGAAGCACCTGGGGGATTTTTCTCAACATCAAAAGGCAAGTATACATTCACAAAGTTTCCTTATTTTATCATTCTTCATTTCCAATTCTATTACCAATAAATATGGATTTTTGCAGACTAGGCAAGAAGTAATACCAAGTGCTTCAGTTAAACAATTGTGTTTCTATTATCAGACCTTACTTGAATCTGTGACTTATTTTATTAACTTGGAAAAGCCTTATTATTATTATTTAAATTTCTTATTGCCTCACTATTATTAGCAATAATAATATTATCAATTTCATTGGATGTTTATGAATATGAAATGATATTGTACAATTAAAAAAAAAAAGAAGAAGAACTCACTGTCATCTAGTCAATTCCAACTCATAAGTGACTCCCAATGGGTTTCCAAGGCTGTAAATTTTTACGGAAGTAGATGTCTCATCTTCCTCCTGCAGAGCAGCCAGGGGTTCAAACTGCTGACCTTCTGGTTAGGAGACAAATACCTTAACCACTACACCACCAGAGAGCCTGTAGTACATTATTTCATAACAAATATTCAAAAAATGACAATAATTAAATGCACTGCTAGAAATTGGAGCTATAATTAATATTTTGTAATAATAAAATAATCAAATCTCTGTTGAAAATCTACCTCTACCTCGGTTCTCTCTCCTTCATTTCCTTTTTCCATTTCTATTAGACTTCTCACATACACACACACAGACACACACACAGGATAATTTTCCCTGCAAAGAATTTAAAATATAAATGCAAATCTAGGATGCAAGCTTCACACAGCAGTTCAGATAGATTTCTTTTCTTTCTATACTTAACTGAAAATGAAGAGAAATATTCCAGTAAGAATGGAGAGCCCAAGACTGAATTCTATGTAGGGATGGTCAGGAACTTGTACCCGCCAAAGGAGAACCTGGGGAGTTCACAAGAAAGCCCTCTAGACATGTTTGCCTCAGGAAACAAGGAGCAATGAACAGTTCCCCGTGGAAATGACCCCAGGGGAAGCACCTCTCCAAAGAAACAGTCAACTACTGAGTTTTTGTTTTTGTTTCATTTTGTGACAGGTTAGTACAAGTTTCTTTTTTCCTAAATTCAAGTTATTCTGAACCGGTCCTAGAATCAAACTTGCTCCAGGTGTGTACCATAGTAATCCTGTTGTTGAGATCATTCAACGTGCATAGGCTAGTCCTGTATTTTGTGTCGTTTGGCATTTCCAATGAAAGACGACACAAAGGGAGACTCCTGTATTTAAATGTGTATCTTATCAAAGCAGAAAGCTTCAACTCCTTTGTTTTATAAATAAGGAAAATACTACTAATAAAGGAAAAATATTGTATTTATTAAAGTTAGTGCATTTGAGACACTGCGATAATTCGTTGAAGTTAGTGTGTTTGAGACACTGTGATAATTTAATTCTTATAACAGCCCCTGAGCTAATTTTTCTTCATTTGCATTTGTAGGCAATAAACTAAATTTAAACAGATTGTGATTTGCTCAAGTTATTATACCTCAAATGAATCAGGATTGGACATCAGTGGTTGGATGTCAGAATTTGCCCAACAAGTAGACATTAACAGGGCTGGGATCATCCTTGCTGTGTGAAATGCAGCTCTAAGTTTTGGAGCTCAATCTAGGACCATAAAGATGAGGGCTATATCCCAGTGATGACGTAGTAGAATGCTATCAGGCAAAGTCAATAGATCGGCCCTGCACAGCTTATCCATATATTTTTATATAGCAGAGAAATAGAAATATCTCTTGCTTAAGCAACTACCTCTTTGACTCTCTGCTGTTGGCAACCAGACTTAACCCTGAGACAGATCTTGTTCACTGGCTGTTTCTAAGATCTGGAGTGTTCTTTGCCCAAAACTTAACATAATTATCTTCTTAGTTGTAACTATTCAAAGAGGCCTTCTTGTATTTTGAGGCCAGAGGAGTTTGATACTACCTAGTTTTGTGGGTCCCTGGATGATGCAAACAGTTAAGCTTTGGGATGCTTAACATCTGGGGGGCCAATGATACCCAGAGGTGCCTTGGAAGAAAGACCTGGTTATCTACTTCTGAAAAATCAGCCATTGAAAACCCTAAGATGCATAGTTCCACTCTGACACACATCGAATCACCATGACTCAGAATCAACTCCATGGCATTGTATTTGTTTCTTTGCTTATTTTTGGTTTATACTTCTGTGTAGCAAAAAAAAAAAAAAAAAGCCTTACTTAATGAAGAAAAACTAATATACCTAAAATGGCACCAACAAGCTTTTGTTTGTTTGTTTGTTTTACATTTACACATGGTGTTTTCTGGTCTGCAATTCTGCACTAGTATTTGTCACCCTCTTTCCCTTAAAAAGGCCACTGGCTGTGTAGCTGCTCTTTCAGACTTGGCAGGCTACTGGCACAGTTCAGTAAAGCTAAAGACTGAAAGGAAGGGGACTGTTGGTGAAGAAGGCATCTGATATGTGAACTTAAGTCTAGTGGGAAGAGGACTAAGGTAATATGTTCAAATGGCCTACCTTTACCAATATAAACATGTTGGTTATCTTATATGACACTGCATTTGGTCCTAATCAACTTAATGGCAGTGTTTTGTTCTGTTTAATAAAATTATTGATAACTTAAAGAAAATGAACAGGACTTGTATCATGACAAGACAGGTTATACATTTCGTGCATTCACAATCAATTTCAACCTTTATGTCTCTAAATATTTCTTGTCTTTCAAAACAAAGCTTTTAAACAATATTGTAAAGAATCAAAGGATGGGGCATCTGTTATATAGACATGATTTTTAATTTTAAAGCCAGATATGAAATGTATGCCAAGGAACAAAAGGACGTGTTAGAATTACTAAGAGGGCAGCTAGTTTCTACTACCACCAAACCCAAAGACTAAACAAAAATGTACAAAGAGGAAAAGGAAGAACAAATATATAGATATATCTCCTCCAAATATTCTGAAAGTGATCTGTTGCAATCTTCTAAGAAAGGACATTCTAAATTCCAGAACACCAATGAGGTTGTGTCTTTTCCTTCTCATAATCACTCTAAAAGGCGAGATGTAAATAGAACATACATTGGACACCATAGGATATTAAATAAGTTCATACATAAATGAAGTAGATTTAATTAATTAGTGTATATTTCAAAATGCAAGCTCACGTAGAGTACAATTATATTAATATTTTAATAGAGTTCATAAGACAGTGCATATAAAATATTCCATTGTCAGCAATATTGTCTTCAGTCATACATTGATTTATTATAAAGTCGTATTCAAAAGAAACATTTGGAAATAATAACAGAATCAAAATCTACTCTTTATGCAACAAGAGACCAATAAAGTTTCTTCAAAGCAGACTTGAAAGAGTTGATTTGTGAAATATCTAAGTGTAATGAGAAAAAGTTCTCCATTCGAAAATAACATTGAAGAGAGAATAGAGATATTTTTTGTCATTTTTTATTGCATGTATCCAGAGAGTCCAGCTTTCCAACACATTTCTTTGACTTGATAAAGCTTTATTCACTTTTGAACTGCATTTATGTATATTTATTTGGCTGCTCATTAAAAACATGAAAAAATGTTTTTTTCTCAAAATTATCTGAAAGAAGCAGCTAGCTCCTACCCTTTCTACTAGACAATGAATCTTACCATACATTGTCAATTTCTGTTTTATTTAGTTAAAAATGTTTGACTGATTGCTTTGATCATGGCCTCTTTCACATCTTTGTTCCTCAGACTGTAGATCATGGGGTTCAACATAGGAATCACTGTGGTGTAAAACACAGCCACCATTTTTCCCTGCTCCACAGATTCCTCAGTTGGGCTTCTGAGATACATGAAGAAGAGAGTTCCGTAAAATATGGTGACTGCTGTCAAGTGTGACCCACATGTGGAAAAGGCTTTCTTTCTTCCTTCTATAGAACGCATTTTTAAGATAGCAATCAGGATAAATATATAGGAGACAATAATGATCAACAAGGAATAAGAGAAGTTGAGACCTGCTAATGTGTGCATAGTATATTCTTTAATGTAGGTCCCTGCACATGCCATTTTAATGAGAGCTGGGTCTGCGCAGTAGAAGTGGTTGATCTCAATGTTCCCACAGAAGTATAAACCATGAGTCCAGAGTGTTGAGATCAGACTAATAAAGAAGCCGTATATATAAGGAAATGAGATCAGTCTAACACAGACAGTCCTTGACATTCTGCTGCCATATAGCAGAGGGTTGCCAATTGCCATGTACCGATCAAAGGCCATCACAGCCAGGATAAAGACTTCCACATGGACAAAAGCAATGAAGAAAAAACACTGCACTCTACAGGCAGGGTATGAAATGGTTTTGGTCTCAGATATCAAGTTTTCCAACATTTTGGGGGTGACATTAGAAGAGAACCACACATCTGCAAAAGACAAATGACTAAGGAAGAAGTACATCGGGCTGCTGAGCTGTGGGCTGGTCCTGATTAGGACGATCATACCAATGTTCCCGACCAGCGTGCTAATATAGACCAATAAGAAAACCACAAAGAAAAGGAGTTGCAATTCAGGACGGCTAGTTAATCCCAAAAGAATAAACTCTGTCACATCAGTAAAATTGAGCATTTTCTTAAACTGGATCCAGATAGAGATGCATTTTATCTAATAAAATGAATAGAAATTGGTAAATACATATACTAAATACAGCCAGTCTTCATTTATCCTATCTTTTGCGAACCCCTTCTTTTCAATACCTCTGTTGTTTATCTTTTGTTCACCCTCTGTTTCTCAGATATCTTTTCTTCCCAGTAGTTCTTTCTTATTTGGATATATGCATACATCATATTTTTCACAAATAATGCCTCACGATATTAATAAGTTTAGAAATATACTTACATATAAGTATAGAACTGCTACAAAGATTTTATTGGTCTACAAACAAAGCTGCCAGAAGAACTTTTATTATTGTGATTCCCTGGGAAGGGAAAGGTCTCTTTTCATTAGCCCCAACTTTGAGGAGGTGTGTATGTTTTATTTCTTCACTAGAGTTATAGAATTTGGAAGTTCTGTAATATATTTGAAATGTAAAGTACAAGGAAAGAAATGGTATTCCAAAAATCAGAAAATGAAAGGATATCTCCATAAGTCACCTCGCAATCTGCAATGTTTATTATAAAAAGGACGTAATAAAACTGGATCAGTGGCTAGAAATGAATCCAATACTTTGATCAGAATGAAAAAAGAAAGAAGCCGACTTAATGCATCACACTGATTTAGCAATTTAAAAACAAAATTTAAACCAATCAAAAAATAATTTAATCTTTTTTCAGGTATTGTTCAAATTACAAACAAGTCTAATAATATTGAACTCAAACAACACCTCTTTTTAAAATGTTCTTCTTCACTTGTCCTTGAACCATTAACAAATTCTGTGACAGACTCAATCTTCCATCTCTCTCTGTTTCACTAGTCTGATGCACTACTCTGTCCTACAGAGTTGCTGAGTTGAAATTAGACTCCACGGCATTTAATAATAACAACTTACTTGTTGTTGCCCTCTCTATTGATAGATTTATTTATTCCTGTAAAATTGAATCACTCAATATTAAGACATACTGTAGCATAGTGCCTAAGGCACTTGACTGCTAACCAGAAGGCTGGAGGTTCAAACCCACCAGCCACTCCTCGGAAGGAAGGTTGAGCAATCCTACTTCCATAGTGACACTGCCTCGGAAACCCAAGAATGGGTCGCTATGAGTCGGGGCCGACTCAATGGCAAACAACAACAACAACAACAACTTACCAACTGGGAGCTTTGGTGGCATGGTGGCTAAGGCATTTGACTGCTCACCAGAAGGCTGGCGGTTCAAACCCACCAGCCACTCCTTGAAAGGAAGATTGGGCAATCTACTTCTGTAGTGATACTGCTTCGGAAACCCAAGGAGGGGTTGCTGTGAGGCGAATTCTACTAAAAATTCTATGAATTTTAGTTGAGCTTACCAACTATCTAATGTTGTGTGCCACCAAGTCAATTCTGGCTCATAGCACCCTGGTAGTGCAGTCATTACAATGCTAGGCCACTGTTGGAGGTTTGAAACCACCAGCTATTCCACAAAAGAGAAATAGCAGTCTGCTTCCATACAGATTACAGCCTTGAAAACCCTATAGACTAGCTTGACTCTGTCCTGTGAGCTAGTTAATAACCAGAAGTGAATGCTGATTTTAGCAAATTGATCGTGAACACTTTTTATCTATCTATCTATTTATTTATTCTCAGCAAAATAGCTGTTCCCAGGTAACCACATCTTGTCTATGAAATACATCTCTTTTCCTTCCAATTATCATGAGAGATTGCTCCTTCCTTCTTCATTTACTTGAGTTTGCAGCTATCTTAGTTTTCTTGTTTTATCTGTGACGTCTGCTATTTGTTGCCTGGGTGAAATTTACCTGAGTGAAATAAAATTGATCTTGGTAAAATAAGATGACTTTCTTCCATGCCTAAAATGATGGCAGTGAAAATAAAATGAGTAACATTATAGGTTTTCTCTGACAAAATGCAAACAACAAAGCATTGCTATTAAATCTAAGCGAATTTGCAAAGACAAAAACAGAAGCTATTGTAAAATCTATTAATTATAGCCTCTTTACAAGAATAATTTCCACACATCTAGGTTAGAAACCTGTTCTATGTTTCTACTCTCTCCAAATATTGCTAACACTTCCATTTTTACAGCTTTATTTATTTATTTATCTACTAGTAAATCTTATATCTACAAAGAGAACATTAACTGCTCCTTTTTTAACTAAGACAGATGTAGTCACAAATATAAGAAAAAGATCAATGGTGTTAGGGTTCAAGCACTTATGTGCTCACTGTGTCAGTAAGACAAGACCTGAGTCTTCAGCAACAAGAAGGCATCAAATTTTAGGATCTGTTCAATGACAATTTGAACAGGGAAGTACAATGAAATCCGTACTCTTGACTCCTAATGAAACCTAGTTCAGTCTATGGGAAGATATATGCAGCATTAACCACCACCACCTGGGTTTGGCCAGAATTTTCCTTGTTTTATCACTGACTGTTTAGTGCCCTGAGAAACCCTCAGTCCCAGGGGAGGGAAAAAAAGTATTGGTTATGCTAGAAAGATTATCCAGTTTCTGTAAACTACATGGGCCTTATTGAGGTCTTTAAAATGTTACTTGTGCAGGGTAGAGAATTCTATAAAATTACATATAGACCTCTCTTGTTCTCTCAGGCTGTCTCTATGCTTAACTCTAGCCACTTAGGATGTAGAAAAAATAATAAAACTGTGCTGGTTTCTAAGCAGTGTCTGATCATGTATTAGTGCCCTGAGGAGAGGCGGGCTTGTTTGTCAATGATTGATTGCATTTGAAAACACATTGCTGGTGTTTTATAGATGCTGGTAGAATATAGTTGTTTAACTCAATGACTCTGTGCATGTGTGTGAGAGAAAAAGAAAGATAGAAAAGAAAGAAAGGCAGAGAAAATGGGGTAAAAAGTTGAGAATGACAGTTGTATTTAAAAATAAATAAATGAAAACATCACTAAGTCAGCACTTAGTGAGACTTGGTAAGATGGAGTCCCATTGCTTGCTTACATAAGACTGTGTGCTCCTCTTTCAGTGGACAAATTGAAGTCCATTGGCCAGAGTATCAAGCAAAAACTCACATCTACAAGTGACTGGCCACAGGGAGGTCTCTTCAATGCTACTTCCTAATAACCCTTTGCAGAATAGTCTCTGCCTGCTAAGAATTATAAGGACAGCCTATAGGGCTGACACTTGACATTGATTGAATGACTCACATGCTCTACTTGTGCTTGAACCCACCTGTGAAGGAAGAAAAAGCGTTCTTGGGAACATCCCATCTGTCATCACAAGTGGATAATTCAGGAGAGTTTATAAGGGTTGGATTTCCCGCTATGGGACTTTCTCACTGGAGATTATAGTCAAAATCATGGAGAAGTAATTAAAATGATGTATATTGCATCATTTAAATGGGAAATGAATCTCAAAGGCAAAATAACTCTCAGAATAATTAGAATTTTTAAATAGAAGAGATACAAAATCTCTTTATCGAGGAGACTGTGTTGAAAAAATTCTGTGTGTGGGGGGGAGATCTTGGTGTCCCATATGATAAAAATTATGTCAGAATTGCATCAGTCACTGCATATATTATGAATAATCTAAACTTCACAGTAGGCAAAGCACTTTCTCTACTCTTCTCTATATTAGTGAAGAAAGTTCCATTTCTTTTTCAGTAAGAAATGCTTGGTAAAAGACAAGAGACTAAAGGGGGACATATTTCATGTATACAAATCATTGATGAGATCAAAATGGATTAATACTTGTTTGAAAATATTAATATTTATCTCTAAAACACAACCTAATTCCTAGGTGAGGGTAGATTTTTGTTGCTTTTATTGCTGTTTGTGTTGTTTTGCTCTTTAATATTATCCCAAAAAAATTCTTATTAAATAATTTTTATTGTTAGAAAATAATGTCTAGTGATAGTTTCCACCTATTTCAGAGAGAAAACCTATTACAATGCTTGAGAAATACAATATAAAATTTTATTGATGAAGAAAATCATTGTAAATATGGTGAATAGAGTTTTCATTTCACAATCTCCATAATGCAAGACGTGAGACTGTGTTGCTCAAAAACAAATAAACAAAGCAACAAACTCACTGCTGTCAAGTCATTTCCAACTCATAACAACCCCTCTTCAGGTTTCTGAGGTGGTATCTCTATGGAAGTAGATTGCCCAGTCTTCCTTCCAAAGAGTGGCTGGTGGGTTTGAACCACCAGCCTTCTGGTTAGTAGTCAAATGCCTAAAGCACTATGCCACCAGAGCTAGCTTAATTAATATGTTGAAGATCCATTTTTCAGGGAGCAAGCAGCTTAACTTGATTAAGTTATCTCCCTGTTTTTCCCATAGGACATTTGAAGAACATGAGCACATGTGGGCTGCGTTCCTAACAGCCATTTTGCACTGTGAAGTGACTTTACTAGTGAAAGCAATGCTCCAAATAATACAACTGTATGGTGTCAAAAGTCCTAATTGAGTAACTCTGGCATACAATCAGAGATTGGGTATTTCCAGATTTTTTTTTTTTTATCTGAAAGTAAAACAAAAGAAAACAAATTGTATTTTGTTTAAGCCAATGTTTTGCTTATTTTCATTGTTGTTTGCAAGATATGAAGTAACTGATACTAGTAGGAATGAGAATGAACTGTTTAATTGGAATGTCCTAGTCTTCCCATTTCTATCATTACCCATAAGAATTTCAACTGAGCCAGCTGTCTAAAAAAAAAGCCAAAATCTTAGTGTGCAAAACTAGCCTAAAATGTAAGATCAAACCCAGCAATATCATATTATAGCACTTGAAAGATTTGTAAAAAGTCACTTAGCACTTTTATTTCCCCAGTTTTTGTTTGCCTATTGCTTTTCTTAAGGCCTCTTTCACATCCTTGTTTCTGAGGCCATAGATCATGGGGTTGAGCATGGGGATCACTGTGGTATAAAATACAGCCACCATCTTACCCTGCTCCACAGATTCCTCTGTGGGGCGTCTCAAGTGCATACAGAAGAGGGTACCATAGAAGATGGTGACCACAGTAAGGTGGGAGCCACATGTAGAAAAAGCTTTTTTTCTCCCCTCTACAGAACGGCTTCTGAGGATGGTACCGAGAATGAACACGTAGGACGTGAGGATGATCAGCAGGGATTGGACATTGCTGTAGCCAGCTACTACATACATTGACAACTCTTTGCTGTAGGTGTCAGAGCATGCCAGCTTGATAAGAGGGGGGTCCGCACAGTAGAAGTGATTGATTTCATTAGCCCCACAGAAGGAGAGGTTGTAGGTCCTCAAGGTCTCCATCACGCTCAGGAGGAAACCATAGACATAAGGAACAGTGACCAGGCGGACACAGACACTCTTGGACATCTTGCTACTGTAGAGCAGTGGATTACAGATGGCCATATAGCGGTCATATGCCATGACGGCCAACATGCAGTGCTCTGTAAGGACCACTGCAATGACGATGTAGCACTGAATCAAACACCCAGCATAAGAGATGGTCTTTTTCTCTGATAAGAAATTCTCTAGCATTTTAGGAGTGACATTTGTAGAAAAACACAGGTCTAACACAGACAAACTTGAGAGAAAAAAGTACATGGGAGTGTGAAGTCGAAAATCAATTTTGATTAAAACAATCATGCCCAAGTTTCCTATCACAGTGACTGCATAGACCACAAGGAACAGCACAAAGAAGGTGACTCGCAGCTCTGGGCGGCTTGTGAGACCCAAAAGAATAAATTCTGTCACTTCAGTGTAGTTTCTTCTGAACATGTCTTTGTCTCATAAGTGAGGCTTTGGCTTTATTATCTAAGGAGAGATATGAAAGTATGTTTTAATTGTTGAAACCTTGGTGAAATATTCTACCTTGTGTAAAAAGATCCTAAGGGCTTTAGTTATTTTTTTCCCAGCAGCATGTCTGTAATCACATATGAGTAGATAGATATAAGGCAACTTACAAATATTTTTCACAAAATGATTTTTTCATTAAGAGGCTTTTTGTTATAACTATTGCACTTAATTTGAAGATTGATGGCAAAATTATAAAGTCTCTCTATACTTTGCAAAGTAATAAAACCTCTACATAACCCATCTGCCAAGGAAGAAATCATTATAGAAATTTAGAAATGCTTATATCTCCTTCTGACACATTTATATACATACAAATAGATGCAGAAACTCTTACAAATGATTTTGACAATTATCTAGGCAAGTTCCTAACTACAAAGCTGAAAAACTGAATCCCAGGGAGATGAAATGACTTATGCAACTTCAAACACCTACCTGGAGGCAGACCTTTAACTCATATTTCCCAGTTCAGTGATGTGCTAATTCACTGTATCTTTCACCAAGTCCAATTCATTGCCTGGAACTCAGTACATCACAACGTTTCATTTATTTGGTGGTGGTGGTGGTGGTGGTAGTGCTGTATGTGTTGTTTGTTTGCTTCATAAATTGGTTGTTTGGGTTCTCATATGAAAAACAACCCTTTGTTTAAGTATTTTATATGGCTATCATCTGGCTGTAAATGTTCCCATCCACTGATATGTGCAGATTTTGTCAATTTGTCCATTAGCTTGAATGTGTGGATTTATGCTTGTTCATCAGTACTTTTATTCTATATGAAATATTTATAGTCCTTTGTTTCTTTCAATTCTTAGTATATGTTTTAATTTGGTCTCTTCTCCCCACCCTCCCAATTTCTCACTAGTTTAGTACACTCATGCTGCACCAAACTATTTTATAATCCTCAAGTAGGCTTATGTTGGTTTTAATATTGCTATATCCAATCCCATTATATCACCCCATTTTCTATTCCCTCATGGTGTTAAACCTGATATATAGTTTAGTCATTAGGATAAAAAAAATTAAGTCAATCACCCAAAAATGATGAAATACCATTTTTAGATCAACTTGTATTATCCACTAGTATACACAAAAAACTAAATTGTCTGATCTGCTTTGATGCAATCAAATATTACTGTATATACTTAGATAAAATACAATCAAAGGGAAATTTAAATTTGTTGTACAAGGAGTATCCATTCATGCATTAATTTGTTTATTCATTAAGTGTTTTGAACACTCACCTTAAAAAGAAAATCTAGAATGAAATGAAGATATTTACAAACAAAAAAAAAAAACCACCAAAAGATTGGAATTAAAGGAAATTCTAATTAATATGCTTTAGGTAGAAAGAAAATAATGCTCCCTCCAACAGAAGATAGTATGAAATGGAGGAAAGAAAAGTAAGGCAATATAAAATGTGTTTATGTGTGTTTACACACATATATTCAAACAATCATTGCCTGAATAAGTAATAGTAATGATGATGATGATGATGTGCAAAATGTGGAGTTAAAAAACAAAGGACAGAACTGAAACTTTCAGAATAAAATAGTAAATCCAAAGTGGTATGATCAGTATTCTTGTGTTCTATAACCCAAGTACTGTTCAGGACCAAAGTTATTATTAATTTTAGATATATTTAGTTAAATATGCATGGTAAAATTCTAAGAGTAATAATCCCAAGAATAAATATATAGCAGGTAAACTCCCAACCAATAGAGAAAATGCTAAAAAAACAAACTCTCAATCTTTATAAAAGGCAAGATGTACAAATGGCATGGTGGGTGCATCAGATTTCCTTGCCTAACTTCACCAGGCAAAGGAAAGAAAATAAAGATCAACAGCCCAAGGCTGATTCCTATGAGGTGGAGGTCAAGCATACCACCACCCTTCAAACATTTTACCAATTCAATCACCAGCCATCCTTCCCTTGGCATTCTCCTCTTCCCTGCTAACTAAAACACTAATTCACCGCCGTCGAGTCGGACCCGACTCATAGCGACCCTTCCTTGGGTTTCCGAGGTGGTATCTCTACAGAAGTAGATTGAGGAGTGGCTGGTGGGTTTGAACTGCCAGCGTTCTGGTTAGGAGTCAAATGTCATAGGCACTACTACACCAGAGGTCCTCTTCTTCCCGACTGGGGTCAATAATTCATTGTAATGGCCACAAAGACTACACTCACAGTTATGGAGTTTATTGGAGAAGTAATGCGTTACAACTTAGAATCGGGATCAAGAGGCATGTAGGAAAGGTTTTCAGTGCAGGACAGATCTCTTAGCTGCTCTTAGTCATGAAAGACTCCTCTCAATTTCCTGAAGACAGCCTCCTCTCACACACTCAGCCCTCAACCTTTATCCCTACTTGAGCCAGCTTCTACCCTGGTTAGGCAAGTGTTGCAAAGCTCTGTAGCTCCTCTACTAAATGCACAGAGGTACCACACTCCACCAGGAAGCATCCTGCCCAAAGGTCCTCAGCTCTCTTGCTCCATAGGTTGGCTTACCCACTGTGATCACCTTGCTTCGTGGGCCAGAAGCCCACCATGCTATCTCATGCCAGTCTCCTGGTTCTGCTGTCACTGTTTCTCTGTCATCCTTCTCACTGTCTTGCACTGTTTCTGGTATTGCAGTTTTCTCTTTCTGCTTCCTGGGTCCAGAAAATTCTTAGCACGAAGACCCTGGGTTTAAAGGACGCACTCTACTAGTGGGTCTTCTTTATTGATGGTAGTGAGGCTCCCTCTGCTTCTGGAATTGGCTTCTGTTAAGCCTATTGAAGTGGCAAAACTGATTATGCCCTTGTTCAATACACCAAGGCACAAATGAATGGACTCAAACCACCAATCTTTCAGTTAGTAAAACCTTGCTGCTGTTGAGTCTATTCTGACTCCTGGTGATTCCATGTTACAGAGTAGAACTGTTCCATAGGATTTTTTCTGGCTGTAATCTTTGTGGAAGTACAATTGCCAAACCTTTCTTCCATGGTGCTAGTAGGTGAGCTCAAACTACCAAACTTCAGGTTAGTAAACTAGTGCAAAATTTTTATGTCATCCAAAGACTTATGGGGAAGAGAGATGCCCGTAAAGTCTGTTCCTGTATAATCCCAACTCTAAGAGTCTTACTACAACCATTTGCCCATATCCTCAAGAATTGACCTTTTTATGACTTAAAAATTAGTGGTTATTGTGAATGAGTCACATGTGAAATCTCAGCATCCAAGGTCTCCCTTCATCTCCTCTATTCTAATCTCTGTCAGTCTCTGTTTGCCTGTTGTTGTTGTTGTTGTTCGCTGTCAAGTCGGCCCCGACTCATAGCGACCCCTCCTTGGGTTTCCGAGGCAGTATCACTACGGAAGTAGGATTGCCCAACCTTCCTTCCTAGTCTCTCCAATTCTTTCTTCACTCCCCTCCTCTCAAGATCCTTTCTTTGAATTTTTTTGGAATTAAATATATATTTTCTGCTAAATCTGTTTTATCTTCAACCTATCCTCTTAACATTCTCTTCAACTTCTTGCTTGTTCTATCTAGGAAAAAAAAAATCGCTTTCTCTATAAGTCTCCCATGAAATGGCTGATAATTTTTTTCTCCACTTTGTCTACACATAGAGCAAATGTTCGCATCTCCTTTTCCATTTTGTCTCTATTCTTTAAAAAATCAGTCAATCCATCAACCAACTTTTAATCTACTAACATCATATTACCCAGTACACTACATTTTGCTGCCAGTTATTAATTCTCTGATCACTTCTCATGATTTCTGTATGATTTTAAAGCAATCCTGCCCACTTGTAGTGTGTAGTGTGTCCAGTACTACTCTTGTCTTAATTCTTGACTTCTTCAATATATGCACAAAGAACACTTGCTTCTCTCAGTTTTGAATTCTTCCCCTTCCATAGCTTTGTCCATCACTACCACTGCCCAAGCTTATGATAACTAGTCTTTTTCATTATAATAACTTCAATACTGTCATTATCTCAATCACATTCATTCCACCAGAGATCCACAGCCTATTTTCTTTGTAACTCATCCCTAGACTACTCTCCTCACCACTACACTGAAACTGCTTTAGCTAAAATCATCAAATCTTCCATCTTGTCCTGTCAGCAAGTATTTGAGAAGGTTGATCAGCTCTCTCTTTGATACACATTGCAGTCTTGGTTTCCAGGACATAACAGTCTCTTGGATTTCCTCCTACCTTACTTGTCACTTCTTCTCAGTGGCTTTTATGATGCCTAATTGTCTTCCTCATTAGCAATGTACATTCCAATTGGGGTCAGGGAGACATAGAGCTCAGGCTTCATGCTTCTCTTTATGCCTTCACCTGAAATCTATATCTTTATAAATGTCATTCACTCCATTATAAAATAAGATAAAAAGTAATCACTTCATAAAGTTCCACATCCAATTATCATTAAAAATATAGCAACCAAGATACAGAAGTGAAGCTCCTTAAATCATCATTTTATTAGAGAAATACTGGAAACATTCCCATTAAAATCCAAAAAAAAAAAAAAAAGAGAAAGATACTCATGATCCTCATTTCTATTGAATATTTCTACTGAATACTGAACTGGAAGACATGGCTACTGCACTAAGATAATAAAGAAAGGAGTAGCAATTGAAAATAACTTTCATTGTCTAAAAACCTTTAAATCTAAATACAAAATGCAAAAGAAGGTACAAACATGTGTTTTGAAAAAAACATGGTTATAGGATCAATATATTCAATTTTATTCCTATGTAAGCAGTTGGAAAATAATTTTAAACAGACATTATGTTTAAGAGTATCAAAAATAATTAAGCAAAAAGAAATTAATCTAAAATAAAGTATTTGGAAATTCATTTTACCCTATAAGAAAACATTACACATATCTTGAAAATAGAGAAATATGCTGTGTTCTCTAAGAGAATGAGTCAGTATTACAAAGAGATAAATCTCAAAGATTATCTGTGGAGCCAACTCAATTCTAATCAGAATCTTGCAGGATTTTTTCAGGTAAACTGATTCTAATATTTATATGGAAAAGTTATAACCAAGGAATATCTTCCTAAGAAAGCAAGAAGCTTCCCATCATACTTACTATAAGCCTCTAGTATTAAAGAAAGTGTGTTATTAACACAGAGTTGGAAAAATTTACCAGTGTAACAAAATAGAAATTCTAGGAAAGGATCTATACACATATGTAACAGATATTTGGCAAATGTGGTACTTTACATCTGGATTATTTCAATATTTGTTGTTGCTTAATTATTTAACTGGATAAAAATTAGATTGCTTTTTGCTTTGCACTACACAGAAATTATTTCTAATTTTGTGTAGCGGTAATATATAAGGGTACCCCTTATACACTTATTGCTTATCATTATATAGATGTTACATGTATTTATTGAAATAATTTATCAAAAGTCATATTAAATATATAACACATCAAAATGAAAATTAAAAATATTAAATATATCATTGTTCTTGTTAGATGCTGTGGAGTCAGCTCTGACCCACAACCACTGTATATACAACAGAATGAAAGTGCTTTGTTCTGTGTCATCCTCACAATCATTGCTATGTTTGAGCCCCATTGTTACAGCTATTGTGTCACATCATCTTGCTGAGGGTCTTTTATTTTTGCTGACCCTCTACCTTATCAAGCATGATGTTCTTCTCTAGGGACTGATCCTTCATGATGACATGTCCAAAGTATATGATATGAACTCTTGTCATTCTCCTTTCTAGGTAACATTTTGATTGTATTTCTTCCAAGATAGACATTAATTTTTCCAGCAGCTCATGGTATACTCAATATTCTTCACCAATACCATAATTTAAGGGTGTCAATTCTTCTTCAATCTTCTTTATTCATTTGTCCAGCTGTCATATGCCTATGAGGCTATGGAAAATACCATGATTTGAGTCAATCACACTTTAGTTCTCAAGACGACATCTTTGTTTGTTAATACTTTAAAAAGGCCTTTTACAGCGGGTTTACCCAACGCAATAAGTAATTTGATTTCTTGATTGTTGCCTCCATGAGAGTTGATTGCAGATCCAAGAAAAATGAAATTGACAACTTCAGTATATTCTCCATTTATTATGATGTTACTTCTTGATATGTTAGTATTTCCAAATATTAATTTCTAAACAAGTGTCATAGTCTAATAATTACACAGAATAAAGTTCACATCTAAATATTTTTTTCTCATGTGACAATTCTGACATTACCATATCTCATTATCAAATACTGGATGAAAGCAATATAAAATCTCTGACCCCTTCCAGAGCAGGCTCAGGCATTCAATGTGAGTATCACTTTATTCTTCATATCTGCTCTAATAATATCAGTGGAACTAACTGCCCTAATTTACTTTCTTGAAGAGGTCATTGAAAATAATAACTATTATTATTATTATTATCATTTAATTCTAACAACTACCTTTGAAATAGGTAATATATTATTTCATTTTACAGTCAAGAACACAAATGGATCCTTGGGTCTTCTGATTTCAAATGTTATTTTCTTAGCAATTAAAAATGTGATATCTTCCAACAATTGTAGAATTACTGTCATGAAATTTTATAGTTTAAATAATACACTTAACTCACTTTGTATGACCTTCAGTACTCATTCCTTCATTCATGAATGTTTATAATTGTCTGTAAGACAAAGCACTAGATGTTCAAAAGAAGTTCGTAGACAAGATAAAGGCAATAGGATCAGGTAGGTGAGCAACCAGGCTAAAGAAGGGTAATATTGCACCTAAGCACACAACTCAGAAGTGGAAGAACAAGGAGAGAATTCCAACATTCCAGCTCCCAGTCTGGTCTTCTTCCTTTGTAATGCTCTATTTCCATGGAAAGCCCATTGCTTTCTCTCAGGGGAATGGGTTGCTTGTGGACAGATAACTATAGCAAAAAGTGTAACAATTCAATCTATCTGATATTATTTCTTCCCTATCTGCAAAAATGATTGGCCCTATGGGCTAACTGGAACAAATATATGAATAAAACAGTAGCTTGAACTAGAGTTCTCATTGAAGTGCTGATGATAGTACAAGCATTCTAGCAAAGACAAGAGATGAAAGAATGAGAGGAAAGAAATAGCCAAGATATCAGTAACATGTTATGATAGGAAGAAATTTGGGCCAAGAATCTAAGACAGTGCCTAGGCATTATGATTCAGTTGGCAATAGGGAAGCCAATAGCTCTTTTCACTGCTCTCACCCCACTAACTATTCCTCTGGTCCAAAGTCTGGGTTCTAGTACAGACTTAGACTCCTAGGAGCTCTGCAACAGCTTTGATCTGATGATTACTCTCCGAATAAAATGATTCCTCAGTGGTCATAGGGCCGTGTCACTTTTAGTATAAGCCAAACATCACTAATCATATTTTAATTCTAGAAGTGTGGAATACAGCAAATAGAAACAACTAACAGATAGATACAGACCTTGTGGAAAAACTGTGAGACTGCCACTGGGGGGAGAGAAACACCCACAGCTAACAATCAAATGTAGTCAGCAGCCTTAATGATGAGTCAGCAGAAATGATGCTACATGTGCAGCCAAGAAAGAACCCTCTTCATCAACTTAATGTTAAAAGGCCCTTGACCCAATTTAGGTCTTTGAGTATGATTAGGACTGATTCATATCTCAAGGACCTTAGTTGAAAGACAAAAACAAGAAAGATATTCTGGGAGGAAAATGTCCCAGAGGAGCAAGTATTTCTTGTGAAAAACCAAGTCCTAGACAATAACAAGTAAAAGTAAACAAGTCACAAACTTATACAATGAGAGAACCAAAAAGGACTTAGAGAGCTCCTCTAAACCCCTCAGTTCCAGATAATGAAACTAAGAGACAACATTCCCATATATTTAGAGGTTACAAAGGAAGACCTGTTTAAACACTTACTTTGCTTCCTAGAAGCCAGAAAAATTTGAAAACAATTAATTCAGCTCCATTGGCCTAAATTATTTCCAATTTGTTCTTATTTTATAGAGATTTAAGTCATGAGAAAATGTTCACACTGCAAAGAGTATTACTGGAAACTAATGAAACATATACTTCAGATCTTTCCTTTTCAGTTCTTCCAGGATGTTTCAAAGACACAGGAAGAATAATAGAAGTGAAAGATCTAAGCAAACATCCATAGATTTCCATCATGAAAAATAAATTGTGCAATTTTTCCCAAGAACTATTGTAATATATCACTATCTAAAAAGTACACAATTAATGAAAAGAATACATAAATTGCTAGATATTAGAAAGTAATATGCAAACACATTTTCCCCACGTACCTATGAAAAGATGGGTGTCTTCTTGGGGGTCTCTTCATGACCCAAAATGTCAAAATCTGGCCACTACTGGAGGATTTATACCCAAGCTACTGACATCAGCAACTATTTCAGGAGAATCTCAAATGTGCAAAGAAGCAATTAGAAGTGGAATCCCAGCAGAGAACACCCTCAGAGGGAAAAAATACTAATTAGTAGCATTATACTGTGTTGGATGAGAACATAAGAGAAACAAATCCATATTTTACATTTTGCTGGGATTCAAATCAATTGTCTGTTCTAAGTAGTAGGGCCATACTTCAGCCAATTCAACACATCAGAACCACAAGCCTTTTGGTTAGCAGTCAAGTGCCTTAGGCACTATGCAACCAGAGCTCCTTTTATGATGTTGAAACAAGAAATTTGCAATGAATGAGTCATTGGTCATGCAAAATTCTACCATGGGATCTCTGGTGTCATTTCCATCACTAAGGCCATATTTTCCAACTACTGATGCTTTTTTGTTTCGAACTTTTGCATTCTAATCCCCAGTAATTATCAATGCATCTTGATTGCATGTTTGGTCAATTTCAGGCTGCAAAATTTGATAAAAATCTTCAATTTCTTCATCTTTGGTTTCAGTGATTTTAGTAAATTTTAATAATAGTACCATTAACTAGCTTTCCTTGTAGTTGTGTGGATATTATCCTATCACTGACAGCATGAAACATTTTGAAATGCTTTTTGATGATGAATATGATGCCATTCCTTTTCAATTTGTCATTCCTGCCATTGTAGACCATATGATTGTCCAATTCAAAATGGCTAGTATCAGTTCCTTCCAGGTCACTAATACCCAGGATATCTTTATGGGTTCCTTTTCATTTTTGACAACTTCCAAATTCCTTACATTCTTACTCTGTACATTCTATGTTACAATTATCAATGGACGTGTGGAGCTGTTTCATCTCAGTTTAAGCCATGCCACATCAGCAAATGAAGGTCCCAAAAGCTTTACTCCATTCAGGTTATTAAGGTCAACTCTACTTTGAGGAAGCCATTTTTCCCCAGTCAAGTGCCTTCCAATTTGAGGGGCTCATTTTCTGGCACAGTATTGGCTTACCTTTTGCTCACAAGGTTTTCAGTGGCCAATTTTTCATACGTGGACCTGGCCATGTCCTTCTTCCTACTCTGTCTTACTCTGGGCTATCCACTGAAACCTGTCCACCATAGTTGATTGTGCTGGTATATGAAATACCAGTGACATAGCTTCCAGCTTTACAGCAATGCACAAGCCACCACAATATGAAAAACTGACAGATAGTGGTGGATAATTCTATTAGCTCTATGAAAATCAAGCAATTACATTCATAACATTACTTAACTCATCAGATTACCTAATTATATAAAACTAAAAAAAAAAAAAAAAAAACCTCACTGCTGTTCAGTCAGATAGAACTCATAGTGATCCCTCCCTCCTTGGGTTTCTGAGGTCGTATCTCTACAAAGTAGATTGTCCAGTCTTTCTTGTGAGGAGTGGCTGGTGGGTTTGAACCGCCAGCCTACTGGTTAGCAATCAAATGCTTTAGGCACTACATCACCAAAGCACCTACTAATTATATGCTCACAGAAGGTTGGGCAATCCTACTTCCGTAATGATACTGCCTCGGAAACCCAAGGAGGGGTCACTATGAGTCGGGGCCGACTCGACGGCACATAACAACAACAACAACAAACTTTGCCATTAACTATAAATAACAAAAACTTCAAATATGACTCTATTGTAAAAATGAGCAGCAAGTAGTGGAAATGTAGTGAGAATGCAAGAGTTGGTAGAATGCTAATACCTGATTTTTATTAATTCCCTTGATAATATCCCCAACTTAAAAAAATAATAAACAGAAATATAAGCATACATTTTAAAATATACAAATAATTATCAGAAGAAAAAAAAACAGGAAAATGTTACCCACTGTGACTTGGGGATGGGGAGAAAAAGAAATAGGAGCCTCTTATTTTTTGTGAATATCACATATCATTAGCATTTAAAATTGTATAAACAGTTTACATTAAAGATTTAAATTACAAACAATTTTACATTTAAAAGCATTTTTAAAAAAGACTAAAAGAGCAAAAACAAAATTTCAAATGTGATTTCTTTGGTGATTTCAGGTGTCCCCTTCCAATGTATTTGTTTGTCCATGTTTGAATTTTGTATAATTAATATCTGTGCCAGTCAGAAGAAGCTATTTCATGCTGTGGAAACAAACAACTTCAACATATCACAGAAGATTATAAAAACAAAGAGTTGGACATCTACTCTATAATTTCATTGTGAGCTGACTGTGAACTGTCGGCTGTGTTCTACATCTCATTCAAGATCCAAAGCTAAGTTATCAGACACCATCTTAAATCTTGTGAGCCAAGGAAATGAATAAATAAATAAATAAAGATCTATCATGAACAATTAATCGCTCCACTGAGAAGGGACACATATGACCTGTAATCCAACTCAGTGTCCATATATAGCCATATGCCCCAAAATAAACTCAAAGAGACTAGAAACATCATTTTACTAGAAGCCCAAAGGTCAGAGAAATAAACACAATTAGTGAACAAAGTAAATGAGTACTGCAAACATGTAAAGTTTTGCAATCCAAATTTTATTTTATAGGTTTCTATTATTAAAATAGGAGCTCTGGTAGCATAGTGCCTAAGGCACTTGACTGCTAACCAGAAGGCTGGTGGTTCAAACCCACCAGCCACTCTTCAGCAGGCAATCTACTTCCGTAGTGATACCGCCTCGGAAACGCAAGGAGGGGTCGCTTTGAGTCAGGTCCGACTTGATGGCAAATAACAACAACAATTACTAAGATAGAGTTTAGGAAGGTACAATTCTGTCTTGGTGTACCTTGTTTCCCCATTCCTTATCAGTTGCATCCTAAATCTTGACAAAAGGGTCTAGAAAAAAAACTTAGGAAACAAAGAATAGTGAGATTTGTTAAGAAACTAGTTTTTTTCTCAACAGCCCTTTGGTTAATGCCTCTTTCACATCTTTATTTCTAAGGCTATAAATCATGGGGTTCAACATGGGGATAATTGTGGTGTAAAATACAGCCACCATTTTACCTTGTTCCACAGATTCCTTTGACGGGGGTCTGAGATACATGAAAAAAAGAGTTGCATAGAATATGGTGACAGCCGTTAGATGGGAGGCACAAGTAGAGAAAGCTTTGCGTCTGCCCTCTGTAAAGCGGATCCTTAAGACAGCAGGGAAAATATAAATATAGGAAATAAGGATAATGAGGAGAGAAAAGGAAAGGTTGCA